TTAAGTGAAGTTGCAATTGGACCTTTAACTTATGACAACAATCCTGCTCCATAGGGCTGTTTGTCTTTTCTCCACAATTTATATTTGATGGCTTGATAGAATAAAAGCAAATTATATTTCAGTTTTCGCTTTGCTCGAAAAGCCGCATTGTGGGAAGAGCAGCACACTCAATTCAATTCAAAAGCTTTATTAGCATGACCATATTTACATGCAGTATTGCCAAAGCTATGTATAGTTGTAACATCAATACAAAAATACATACAAATAAACAAATGAACAGTTATAAACAAACTGCTAAGAACATGTTTTTATTTTATTTTATTTATTTTTTTACAAGGAATACAGATTCCTTTCATTCATATAATACATTAATACAAAATATAATATGATATATATACATAAGATGTGAGACCTGGTGTATCTGCTCATTCTGGTTCCCTCAGACTGTGGCAGGCAGAGACAAACTGTCCTGCCACAATGCAGCTCTCTTTATATTCCCCGAGAAGTATTTTTTGTTTTTCATTTTCATTTTTAAATATTTGAGGATGCTTATGGCTGAGTTTTGGGAATAATTGTTTCCGTACCGGTTCAAAAGTTGGGCATTGTGTGAGGAAGTCACTCACAAGACACTCACTGAGTCCCGTGCGTGAGAACAAACCAAAACGCAGGCTCAAAGCCTCTGTCCTAAAAGTGGATGCACTAATTGGATGCAAAGTGGGGTTGATTGCCTGTTGCTTTTCTGAAATTTGATTAGCTAATTGCCGTGTACCATTGTCTCATTTGATCGTAGAGGGCAGAAGTTTGTGTTTATCCTAGTAACTCCTGTTATCATGAACACATTTGAAATTCTCCCTTTTTGAACAGAACTAGAAATGAAACACCTCGGCGCCCACCGGCCGAGAAACATTAATAATAACCAAACAAACAAAATGGACTGGTTCTTCAGGGAGAAAAATGTCTTACTTCCTGTGTGTTATTTGGCAAAGACTGTACAGGCTTTCAGGATCTTAAGAGTTTTTCGGAGGATTACCCAACATTAAAGCAACAAAACACAAAATGTGGCCTTCTCCGCCGATCAAACAGAGCTCCTCACATTCACAGCTCATACAAACAGGGAATGTAGCAGTTCTAAAGCTATTTCATAACCCTGCAGTGATTAAAGAAATTAATTAAAGACATGCATTTTATGGAAATACTCCCACATACAGTGGGGCAAAAAAGTATTTAGTTAGCCACCAATTGTGCAAGTTCTCCCACTTAAAAAGATGAGAGAGGCCTGTAATTTTCATCCTAGGTATACCTCAACTATGAGAGACAAAATGAGAAAAAAAATCCAGAAAATCACAAATTATGGTGGAAAATAGCTATTTGGTCAATTACAAAAGAATACTTTGTTATATACCCTTTTTTGGCAATGACAGAAGTCAAACGTTTTCTGTAAGTCTTCACAAGGTTTTCACACACTGTTGCTGGTATTTTGGCCCATTCCTCCATGCAGATCTCCTCTAGAGCAGTGATGTTTTGGGGCTGTCGCTGGGCAACACAGACTTTCAACTCCCTCCAAAGATTTTCTATGGGGTTGAGATCTGGAGACTGGCTAGGCCACTCCAGGATGGAGGGAGTTGAAAGTCTGTGTTGCCCAGCGACAGCCCCAAAACATCACNGTGTGCCTTGGCAGTCTCAGTGAGATGGTGGCTAATTATTGTGTTTTCTTTCTTTTCTTAGCTCTTACGTTGGTACTTGACAATTAATGTATACATGCAAGTGTGTACAATAAAAGGATACCATCAGTTTGAGAGTTAGACCATTATTCAGCTGGGGACGCTACATGTTTATTTCATTTGTTTTCTATTTTGTAGATTAATAATGAAGACATCAAAACTATGAAGGAACACATGGAATTGTCTAGTAAACAATCCAGAATATGATTTTTACTTTATTTTCTTCAAAGTAGTCCCCTTTTGCCTTGATGACAGCTTTGCACACTCTTGGCTTCTCTCAGTCAGATTCATGAGGTCGGCACCTGGAATGGTTTTCAATGAACACGTGTGCCTTGTCAAGAGTCAATTTGTGGAATTACTTCATCTGTTTGAAACCATCAGTTGGGTTGTGCAGAGGTAGGGTTAGTGCACAGTTGCCCCTTGCCCTTATTCCTCCTAGCTTAGCACTTTCTACTTTTGTTGTTATTTTGTTTTACTTTACTTGTAAGCGCTTTGAGCACCACGAAAAGCGCTTTATAAATGTAATGTATTATTATTTGTATTATTAAAGTGGAAAGCCCTATTTGACTACTGTTGTAATCCATATTATGGCAAGAACGACTTAACTCAGTAAAGAGAAACGACCGTCCATCATCACTTTAAGAGATGAAGGCCAGTCGATCAGGAAAATGTCAAGAACTTTGAATTTATCCTCAAGTGCAGTCGCAAAAACCATCGAACGCTATGATGAAACTGGCTCTCATGAGGACCCCACCGGGAAAGCAAGAGACACCTCTGCTGCAGAGGATAAATACATAAGCATTACCAGCCTCAGAAAACACAAATTGATACACCTCAGATTAAAGCCCGAATAAATGATCACAGAGCTCCAGTAGCAGACAAATCTCAACATCCACTGTTCAGAGGAGGCTGCGTGAATCAGGCCTCATGGTCCAATTGCTGCAAAGAAGCCACTACTGAGGATGAACAACAAGCTTCCTAGCTGACTCAAGATGGCTCACACCATAATGACACAAGGCACATTAAAGAGAGTGGATTTTATATTTTGTATATATTCTGCTCTCAGTACGACACCATTCTCAGTTTACCACAGTATACATCCTTTTTTCCACTTTTTCGTATTGTTTTCTTTTAATTTGCCGTTGTAATGCTATATTTAAATTGCCAACCAACTCTCCCTTTTACTTTCTTTTTGTAATCATCCAATTTCTGGGGAAGGCAGGAGTTAGGGGCTTTCCCCACTCTACACTGTTTGCAAAAGTCTTTAGGGCTGGCCCAATCTTACAAACATGTTGTTCATCTTGTTCCTACATTTTTTTTTTTTAGATGTTAATCATTCACCACATCCTCTGTGAGTTGTGATGCAGTAGAATATCAGTCATCGCTATCTCTTATTCATTTTAGGGTTTAGCACATGTTTGATGTTTTGCAATTCAGCAGCTCCTCACTGTTTACCAGCTTGTTGCAGTAAATCAGGGGACATTTAGATGTTTCAGAGGTGACCTTTTCTGATAAATGAATTGTATTCATTGTCAGATTTTGTTTGTCTAATGTGCTAAAATGCAACATTGAAACTCCTCACTTTTTCATTCACAATTAGCTTTCATCTGATATCACATTTGATTTAGTAGAACAAATAATATAATATGTATAAATATACATAAATACAACGTGTATTTAGAAGGTTCTGCATTAGGGCGATGGGTTGTTTTTGAGATAGGGACTTGCATCTGATGGGCGATTGTTTCTGTCATGGTAAGTAGCAAGAGCATTAATACTGCTTATGAATTAAAGCCACATTTGTAATAATCAGATCCTTATATTGAAAATAACATAACAACAAGCCTGTTTTATTTAAGGAAGTATTGTTGGGTCCATTGGTTCATGGTAAAGGAAATGATATAAGTATTGCAGGTGCCAGGCACAGGATGAGGCAAACAGTTAAACTGTTAAAAACAGAACAGTCACAATCGTTATTTAGTGAACAAATTTGCTTTAAAAAATAATTGTAGTTAAGTTAAACACCTACAGTATAACGGTGATGCAGTCTGTAACGGGTACAAACACCAGTGCATTTGAGTGAGTGTGAGATAAGGCAATGTGAATCTTTTTTATTTCCCCAATCTCTCCTCCGCATGAGCATTGGCTTGGTGGAGCAGTTATCCTGGTAATATCCTCCTTCTGATCTGCACCACTTTTACGAGATCTTTCTATCCTTTGAGTTCAATTTTGATGAAACAGTAGCACGAAGACGAACACCTCTAATCAAAGAGAGTAGGTGTATTCAGCCCTAACGTTGGTCTTATTTGTACAGTATGCATCATTTTATTTGGGGGTTTTAGCAACATTGTGATTGGAAATAAAGAAAGCTCGCTCATTAATATATACATAATAAAATATCTTAAAATTGTAAACCAACTGTGATTGAATTATTGAAAAGTGACGATACTAATAGAATGCATCTAGAGCAGAGGTGTCCAAACTGCGGCCCGCGGCCCATTTTGAAACGACCCTCAGCTAATTCAAAAAGTTTAATGAAATATGGCCCACAAATGAAACTTGTGCTTGTCATATATTGTACTTCTAAAATATATATGTACAAATATATTACACAGTAGTATTCATGTGTTAATAAGTCCACTAAATTCAGTCAATTAAAATTGGAAACATTTTCAAACAAATCTTAGTTGATTAAAGAAAGCCCAATAACTTAATTAAATAACAAGCTTGAAATAGACCCTTAATATTTCCCCTTGTTATAATCAATCTGAGGCTCCTGTTTAAAGGAATGAGCTGCAAACAAAATAAATGAAACCCTACGGAGAGCTGAGATGTAGGCTGTTGTGTTTCTTAAAGCATATTCAAGTATCAACCATAATTTACCTACATTTGATTGATTTTGCTAGCTTCTAACTTAACTTATGAGGCAATATACCTCTAGTGAGGGGCCCAGCCCTTCGCATATGTTTCTGTATGTGGCCCTCAGTGAAAAAAGTTTGGACACCCCTAATCTAGAGCAAGCCAAGACACTTTTATTTATTTAGCACAAAACACAAGTGGTGTCATGACACTTTGCATTCAGAGCAGGCTTAGACAGTTCAATAATTGTACCTCTCTGTCTTATATGGCTACCAATGCAAAAAGGTTTAGTCTGGTTTTTGCTGCACCGTTAAAACTTGGGCACTAGGAGGCAGCGTTGTCTTTTTGTTAAGTGCGGAGAACATGGGCAACAGTTTATTAATAAAAAGGTGGTACAAAACAAACTTAAAAGATCCTGTGTCCTCTTTGATGATGAATTTATTGTTAATGTATTTAAAAGCAGGATAATATACAATGGTTAATACAAACCAACAACATTTATTTAAGTACATTATGTCTAAACGTATCAGTTTATCCATGAAAAAAACTTTATGTGCTTGGTTTAATTTGAACATAGCTTAAATAATCTATGTTTAACAGATCAGGTTTGTGGCCCCATCAGCAGAAAATAAGCTGTACCATAAAAGTCAAAATATTTCATATTTAACCTTGATGTGACTACACTTGCCATACAAAAGGTTACATTATAATTTGGAAACATCAAAGTGGAGCACAATGTCATTAAATCTGTCTAAAGCAAGCAAGTTCAGACTTTGGTCCATCAGTCTCATTGCTATTGAATACGTTACAAGCGTCTTAGATAGGACCCATTAAATGTCATGCAAACAGTAAATACAAATGTTGTGATTTCATCAATTCAGCCCCAATTGTATGAGAGCTTTTTCAGGCTTTAGTCATGGTCAAATAGATCCACCTGCTGTAATCAGCAATCTTGACGTAACAATCGATTTGTTGGCCTCCTGAGTCTGGTTTGAATTTGTGGGACACCACCCCGTATGCCTTCTCATCTTCGCACACCAGCGGACCACCAGAGTCTCCCTGGAAGTACAGTGATGGCTTTAATGCTGAATCAGTTATAACTTATGACTTTGTCCATTTCATGTTATACAAAAAGACTTACCTCACCCGGTCCAATCTCTCCCTCGGAGCAGTACAAGTTGTCCTTAGCACACAGCTCATTGTCAGTGAGTTCAACATTGACTTCCATGAGTACTACAGACATATATTTGTTGGTCTTTTCTGTTCTCCCCCAGCCGGAGACCGAACATGATTTTGGCAGAGAGGCTTCATGTTGGCTTGGAAGAGCAATGGGTCTCACATTTTCGCAGAAATTTGCCTTGGAGCTCAACTTTAAGAAAATGGAAAGAAAAATGAACTCATAATTGAAGCTCAAATATTCATTCCAGTGCTCACACTTTCCTGATTAAGTCATATGTTTCAAACCTCTTATTGATTAAGGCGTTAGATAGCATTTGCAATAAACATAATTACAAACAAACATTGGAAAATTACTAAAATAGTTTAGAAACTCATTTCCGCTTTCAAAGGAAACATTTGTCTTACCTTAAGAAGCATGATATCGTTTTTGTAATTAGTTGCGTTGTAGTCTTTGTGAGGAAATGCTTTATCCACATTTATACGCTGTATTTCATCTTTATGTTTTACATTGTGAACTCCTAGTAACACAGTGTAAGATCTAAAATGACAAAATGAAATGCAAAATATTATGTAAGAAATGAATAAATGCTTAGTCTTTAACTCAGAACAAAAACTAAAAAATTATAGATACAATTTTATGAAGACCTTTTTTTTCACAATTATTGAAGCCATCATCCCAAATAGATCGATTAAGAGTGCTTTTTATATTGAATTCGTAATGCATGAGTGTTTAACTGACCTGGCTTGGCAGTGGGCTGCAGTCATGACAAAATCCTCGTTCAGAAGGAAGCCACCGCAGTGTTTGGTGGTGCCATCGTCCATTTCTGTCTTCAACAGAACCATGTATGGCCTGCTATGTGCAGCAGCTTTCTGTCCGCCGATGATCTTTCCTGTACGAACTGAGGGATATTTATTTTTACATATATGTTTTTACATATATGTTTTTACATATGCTGTTTATGGTGCTTTGTGTGCCAACAGTGCAGAATGCATTTTATAAAAACCGGTATGAAAAAGTTTATGTATGTGTAAAAATGCAACTTAACTTACCTTGACCACCAAGAGTCAGCGCAAGTAGAATCAGCAGTTCAGAGTGGATGAACATGGTGAGACCAGGTGAGCTCCTGGAGGGAGTGACAAGCTTTTCTGACAATTTCAGTCTGAGCGCTCCCTTGTATAAGTCAGAGAAGGACGTGTTTGAGTGCTTAACCCATGCAAAACAATGTGGCTTTTAACCACATCCACGAGAAGGGCGTCATCTCCAAAACATTACAAAATGGAAATTAATCACAGCACAAATTGAGATGTATTGATGTTACATATGCAATACATTGTACTTGTTATTAGTTTGCTATTATTTTATTTTGAGATTAAGTTTTTTAATAAATACGTTTTGTTTCACAGATATCTATCAAAGATATACATTCCACTTCCCATCATTTTAAATCGCATTAAAAGCCACCTCATGTTCGTGCTCGCAGGTTGATTTTGCAATTGAGACAAATGATGCAAGCGAGTTCAAATTTCAGATCAGTGTAGTGAACTTTAAAATGAGTGGTTATTATTTATCCACTGATGCCTTTGTGGTTACCTTCACAGTCTTAAAGATCTCTACTGGCGTTCAATGTTCAAAGCTGTGGCTTCTCAGAGGAGCCTCTGTGTCTCTCACACAGCCCCAGAGGTAACATTATTCTGGTGTTATCACTTCATCAGACAGTGTGTATAAAAATAGGATTTGTTCGAAAGTGAGGTTTTTGAGCTTAAAGTGAAATGTGGCTCCTGAGCTACCAGAGGATTGAAGAAGTCTGTAGGTTTCTGTTGGAGGGAAGAGGAGATCAGTCAGCATATTTTATAAACCGAAATAATATTTCATTTTTCTTTTAGTTAGATTTGTAGGCAAGGAGCCACTATAATAATTTCTTTATTGGAAAACTGCATGTCAAACATAAATCAAATGTATGATCTGTGTTCAAAGCCTGTGGGTTCTGCTGACCTTTTTTTTCAGTTTTGCAAAAATGAATTACACTTGTGAGGACCTGACTGCTGTATTTTTTAAATCAATAAGAGATGAAAAGGAGAACTGGGTATTAGCTCAGAGCGTTAACCGTGGATCAAATGTGAATGAAGCTTTGTAGAGAAAAGATATGAAGCGATTTGCAATGCTTAAAATAGTGCTGGCTAAAAACCATTCCTCTTCTTTAAAGAGGCCAAAAGTATGTAGCTCACTGACCACATAGCACATATATGTCTGTTACATCACTTCCTCAGTCTAGACTCAAGTATGTCCCTCTTGTATCTTAGTCACAAACTTTACTGTAATTGTTTTTGAATGATGCACAATAGTGTTTTAATGTCTTGGAGAAGAGGGGGAAAAAGAGGAGGTTGGGGGGTGGGGGGGTAAGAGGTAGGAGTGAACAGGTTTTTGCGATGTGAGCTCCTGGAGTCCAGGGCAGTAATGGGAATTACAGGCGGAGATGCAGAGAGGAACCTGCTCGGTAGAACAGGGTCTTTACGGTCAGCCCGTCACTTTTATTAGGACCTCGGGGCTGAGAGGGCTGGCTGGTTTAGCCATTCGACACGGCAACAAGGGAAGAGGAAATGTAATAACAGCCATGAAAACCATAAATATCTGTACAAATTACATGTATATTAAGAAGAAAGGAAAATGACAACAATAAAAGCCAACAGACAGAGACACGGACATTCCTAGGACAGTGATGATGGATCAAACCCTGGCTTTAGTGAAATCACATATGGTTTTAGAGGTTTATGGCCCCAGAGCCATGGTGATGTGACACTGTTAAGCAATTATCCCAATTTTAGCTGACTCATGTCTGTGCTGGTCTTACACATAATCTTTTTTGTCAGTCACTTAACGATTTGCTAACATCAACCTTTTCTTATTTATGAAAATGTGTCCTCTAAGGTTTTTTCAGGTCTTAATTATATATGAATATTTCAGGACTTTTATATAATCAAGCAATATAACATCACAATTTAAAAACAACAATTGGCAAAGAAACAGAATTTGCAATTTTCAGACATACAGTGGGGCAAAAAAGTATTTAGTCAGCCACCAATTGTGCAAGTTCTCCCACTTAAAAAGATAAGAGAGGCCTGTAATTTTCATCCTAGGTATACCTCAACTATGAGAGACAGAATGGGGGGAAAGAATCCAGGAAATCACATTGTCGGATTTTTAATGAATTAATTGGTAAATTCCTCGGTAAAATAAGTATTTGGTCACCAGCAAACAAACAAGATTTCTGGCTCTCACAGACCTGTAACTTCTTCTTTAAGAGCCTCCTCTGTCCTTCACTTGTTAACTGTATTAATGGCACCTGTTTGAACTCGTTATCAGTATAAAAGACACTTGTCCACAACCTCAAACAGTCACACTCCAAACTCCACTATGGCCAAGACCAAAGAGCTGTCAAAGGACACCAGAAACAAAATTGTAGACCTGCACCAGGCTGGGAAGACTGAATCTGCAATAGGTAAGCAGCTTGGTGTGAAGAAATCAACTATGGGAGCAATTATTAGAAAATGGAAGACATACAAGACCACTGATAATCTCCCTCGATCTGGGGCTCCACGCAAGATCTCACCCCGTGGGGTCAAAATGATCACAAGAACGGTGAGCAAAAATCCCAGAACCACACGGGGGGACCTAGTCAATGACCTGCAGAGAGCTGGGGCCAAAGTAACAAAGGCTACCATCAGTAACACACTACGCCGCCAGGGACTCAAATCCTGCAGTGCCAGACGTGTCCGCCTGCTTAAGCCAGTACATGTCCAGGCCCGTCTGAAGTTTGCTAGAGAGCATTTAGATGATCCAGAAGAGGATTGGGAGAATGTCATATGGTCAGATGAAACCAAAATAGAACTTTTTGGTAAAAACTCAACTCGACGTGTTTGGAGGAGAAAGAATGCTGAGTTGCATCCAAAGAACACCATACCTACTGTGAAACATGGGGGTGGAAACATCATGCTTTTGGGCTGTTTTTCTGCAAAGGGACCAGGACGACTGATCCGTGTAAAGGAAAGAATGAATGGGGCCATGTATCGTGACATTTTGAGTGACAACCTCCCAGATCTCAACCCCATAGAAAATCTTTGGAGGGAGTGGAAAGTCCGTGTTGCGCAGCGACAGCCCCAAAACATCACTGCTCTAGAGGAGTTCTGCATGGAGGAATGGGCCAAAATACCAGCAACAGTGTGTGAAAACCTTGTGAAGACTTACAGAAAACGTTTGACTTCTGTCATTGCCAACAAAGGGTATATCACAAAGTATTGAGATGAACTTTTGTTATTGACCAAATACTTATTTTCCACCATAATTTGCAAATAAATTCTTTANACCCGACCGGACAAAAAGACGTGGTGCAGGCACGAAACATACTACCAATACATTGCTTTTAAAATCGTTCTGTTTGACACGACAAAAATGGGAAAATTGTGTTGGTGAACACGAATCAATAAATTACATTTATTTTGTGACTATTACACGAAATGCCGTGAGACTAGGTTGCGCATGCTGGCTCTTACGGAACCGACTAACTCCCCTTGTAGCGTCCACAGCTGAATAATGGTCTAACTCTCAAACTGATGGTATCCTTTTATTGTACACACTTGCATGTATACATTAATTGTCAAGTACCAACGTAAGAGCTAAGAAAAGAAAGAAAACACAATAATTAGCCACCATCTCACAGATAAAACATCTCCATTCCTTATATAGCAGTTTTGCTAATACAAAAGCGTGAACTCAAAACTCTGCAAAACTACAAAATAACACCACATAATATCAATACACATATTAATTAAAGTAATAACAAACATTGTGCCCCTATCAGCCAGGTGCTAAAAACCTAACGTAACTAATTATCTGAAGTTAATTTGTCCGTCATTCATCCTTACACGTGTTTACAATCCTTCGTTCTCTATTCACTTCCGGCAAAAGTCCCTTCAAAATAAAAGTCCGGATCTTATAACTATCAAATAAAAGTACAAAACTAAAACTTTACCACAGGAAAACATTGGCACACAAATATAACCACCTCTACAAAAGGTTAAACATATCAAAGGTCATTTACAAAACACAAACCTTCGAATGAGAAGGTGTGTCCAAACGTTTGACTGGTACTGTATCAATCTCAAGCAGCCAAGTGTCACAGACCGCTTTGCATCACACAGCCTTTATTTATACAGTCTATCTAACAGGCCAGATTTCTCCTCTTGCCCAAATTTGTATCCAAGGACCATGTTTACGACGAAGAGTCCACAACCATCTTTTATCCCTCAGTTAACAGTCCTAATGTGTTCATTCATGGCACTGCAACAAACTGATTTGCCTACATACTGTGACTGAGAAGAACGTAAAGGCCATGGGATTCATTCTGGCCTGAACATAACGGTAAATAAAACCTCAATTAATTAGAGACAACCTAAAGGTGATATGCTGCGGTTTCACAACTCAGGCAGACGATGTTGCTCTTGATATGATCTATATTTCCTCTTCATTTCTCAAGTAGCTAAACCACTTAAACAGTTCAAAGGATGTGACCAAGCTTTACCCAGAAACAAGTCTCAGAGTTTACTGGAATCAGACCCTGCTGTACCAAAAATAAAGATCGTATCTCCAATTAATTCAAATATACTTCGATCAATTAGAATGGAAGGCTTAAAAGCTAGAAAGCGGAGGCCTTAACAATTGTGATCTGAGGGTAGCTATTGTAGGTGTGTCACAAAATATGCAATACATGAATACATTGTCACAACACACTAACCAATTGACTTTTTACTAAACTTCTACCTTTAAGAACGTTTTATTCATTTATTTGTTTATTTGACAGGGTAGTGAACATCATTTGCTCAAGAGTTACCTATAAGAAAAGGTCCGATCTGTAGCCCCTGATTATCTGGCCATAGCTGATAGCTTAGCAAAAATAGCTTCGATGATAAAGACAGTGATGCCCTAGAATCAGTACAAAGAAGAGGTGCAAGATTTATTTTTGAAGATTATGAATGGGACAGCAGTGTCACAGAAATGCTCAAGCGGTTGAACTGGGTGGAATTAAGTTAAAGGCGGCGGCCGCCTTTAACTTAATTCCACCCAGTTCAACCGCTTGAGCATTTCTGTGACACTGCTGTCCCATTCATAATCTTCAAAAATAAATCTTGCACCTCTTCNTCCCACAGGCTC